TTCCTTTGCACTGACTTGGAGGCTCTGGGAGCGGAGGCAGGAGAAGGAAGGGAAAAGGAAGCTGGAAGACCCACCACCCACACAAGAGTCAAGCCCTGTTTAAATACAGAATGCAATGAATGGATGGAGTAATTTAAGATCACCAGTGTTTCTCCTATAAGTAAGGGGGCTAGAGCCTGAAAAGAAAGATCAGGTGGCCACTTAATCAGTTTTGGAGGAAAAGACTTCCTCTTCTTAAAGACCCAAAGCAAAATCAGAATTGTATCCTTTGCTCAAGCCATTTTGGTTTAATGATGCAAACACCTGACTAGAGACAACCAAACCAAAACAGACCTAGAGGTATCCTCCATGCAGGTTTCAGTTATGCTCTGAATGTTGAGGTCCTGTTTTAAACCATATACATAGGGTCAGACCACTGATCCCACACTAACTAGTATGGGAGATAAACAACAACCAGGGACCTTTTCTCTGAACCATGATCTTGATGAATCAAGCTTGCACTTTGCTTCTAAAGAACAAGTAGTAATTAGTCATTGAAACACTTACCTAGGGATGTAGGCAATTTAGAGACAGGAAATTAGAATATGAACACTGCCCAGCTTTCTTACAAAGCTAAGCTGTAGCTCAATTAGTTGCTGTTATGGGTTTGCTACCAAAAATCTCTTGAAGAAGGTAAGTGGCTTAGCATTCTGAACTAGATGATCAGAACTGGTTTTTTCATAAAATATTAACTAAGGAATGTTACATGAAGATGTTAGGGTTTTTCCTTTATGGCTGAAAAAGTGCTTGAAGACAGCAGAGATTGTCAGGGTTTTCCATCTGAATGGCATTTTCCAATTACTTTTTCACTTTCTGTAAACAAGTACCAGAAACTTTTTTGGAAAAGTTTTGAATTTTGCTAGATAAAACTAGTTTTTGATGCAAAAAATAATTTGTTTTCTTGCCCCTTAGTAGCCTGATAAATGCCTGGGAGCCCAGGTTTCCCAGCCCTTTAATCAGTCCACCAGTCCCTGAGCCAGGGCTACAAGGCCTTCAGAGCTCCTGGTCCATAGAAGAGCCAGACTCCTAAACAGAGGCTTCCACAAATCTGAGGAAATCTTGAAAAGTTTTTTCTCAAGTGAGAGAGTGGTAGATTGCCCATACTAGGACTAAATTTATTTATTTTTTGTTTCATTTCAAGATTTCCTCTGGAATCAGAATTCTAGTTTGCGGCCAACTCAAAGCCATCTTCAAGGGACTGGATCAAGAATGCGGAATGATTGCTTCCAAAAAGAAGCCACCATAGTGCATGACTGTCTTCAACCTCACTGTAATGAGTTGTCCATTACTCACTTTATTTTCCTGAGCAAAAATAAATACTCGTCCGCTCTACATAAATTAACAACATTACAGAGAAAATAGGTTGTTTTGTTGTGTGTGGTTTTGTTTTTTTTTTTTTTTTTCAAATTTGGATCTAGATACTTGGCTAAGATCAGAGAAGGTGTCAGTGGTGGAATTAGAACAGTTATCTTCGATTCTAAATAATTTATTCAAGCTATACTTCACTAGACTTCACTCATTTCATAAGAAGCAGGAACTTGCCTATCAACATTGAAATAAGAAGCCCTTTTATCTTGTTCTATTAAGTGATCTATGTAAAAATAAGTATCACCTGCAAACTTCACTCTTTTATTTCAATAAAGAAAACAACTTATTTAGTGCAGTATCAACTTTATTGAAAAAACAAATGTTCACATGTCTTAGGATATAAACCTATTACAGAACAGTAAGAGCTTTTAAGAAGGAAAAGACTTGTCTGCCAAATGATTAGACCCAGGAAAAAGAGCAACCAGGATGTATATACAAAGCAGCATAGGAGCCAACAGAAGCTGTTTACAATACAAAACACTTGTTGGAGTGGAAAATTTCACCAAAAATAATTGGTTTTCATTTTACAAAAATATCACTCAGTTGGTAAACTTTTAAAAATGTTTTGTCACGTTTTAAATGAGGCACAAGATTTTCTCTCCGTTTCAAAATACATAAAGTCTAAAAAATTACTGAAAAGTTTTGCGAGCCTACAGTACTAGGAGGTGGTGACCCTAAAAGCAGGCACTGACATGATGATTACAAAACTGGATGAAAACCATTTTCAGAAAAAAGTTACAATAAATTGTTTCAATCTGTTACATCACATAAAAGAAAAATGCAGTTTTATCACACAACACAGCTGGCCAAAATGTTCCCTATAGCTTTATACTTCTATTTATACCCATCTTTTTTTATTCTGAGAATGTTGGCCCAGGGAAAACTGCATGTTATGCAACCCACAGGACAATTCCTATCTCTATTCAGCATGGGAGCATCTGCAATCTATGCAAATTTGATATAATCCTAATTCCATGAACAAATCCTTGCTGCATTCCCTAGGAATACCTGTAGACCTTTACTGCCTGTGGTCTGAAAGTGTTTTGCACAAGATTTATCAGCAGTAAGGACTTAGTGCAGGATACAAAAACATGCTACTTTGGGTTTTAAAAAACCTGTTATAAAAACACATTTGGAAAGATTCATCATCACAGTAAGAAAGTCTCAGGTAGTACAATATTCAAAGTATGCTTCATCATGTCATTATAGCAAGGTTTTACTCTGAAAAGGCCATTCACATTGGGCTTATATGTTTAGGGTGTTCCAGTAACTTCAGAATAGATGCAGTTTCTTTACAAAAGATGGTCCTCTTAGCTCTGATGAAACAAAATAAGCTTCTAAACAAAGCACTTAAGGCCTTTTTTGGTTAAAAAGTTACATTAAACAAGTGTTGTGACAACCACAAGAGAAAAATCAGCTGGCCTGGTGACCTGAACTGAAATCTTCTAAAAGCACTTAGGGAGTTGAGTAGCCAAACTCACAGAGATAAGCACCCATATACATCTCTGAAAATGCCAGCCCTTGTGGTTATATGCTCCATGCAAATGGGTAGAGGTTTGAGAAAGTAAAGAGAGCATGTCTTTCTAGAAAAGTCTGAAAAAGGTGGCGGCAGAAGCTGCTCATTTTCTACGGAGTCCTTACAGGTTGTCTACTCTGCAGTAACAGTCACATGAGGGACTTTCACACAAGGAGGGAACATTAAAGATTTCCACACATTCAGAACACACCTACCAAAACAGACAGGAGGCAGTTTGCTTTTACAGACAAAATCCTGCCTTCCTGGTACAATACAACCAAGGTGGAATGTGGTCTAGTGTCCAGTTTCATTATTTTTTTTATAACTGTGGTGTTAAATTAACAGATTGAATGAGATGTGTGTACAAGGCAGGTAGAATACAGCAGCTAATGCAATATGCAGGTGTAAAGAGAAGATAAGTCAATTCCAAGAATGCAGGATTGCAACATATTTCACTAACAAGGCAGGAGTTCAAAATGACAGCAATCCAGGCAATGCTATTAGTAACCAAGTAGAAGCCTGGGTGTATGTCAGATTGGAAAGAGTCTAGATAGAGTATTCCTTCCCTATTAGACCTGTATTACAAAAGTAAGATTAAATTAATGGAAATGGTGCATCTCCTCCCATAGCCACCACTCCACCCCTTTTAGTAAAGGGACCCGTATGCAATATTAAATCCAGTTTAGTAAACCCTACATGTGTAGCTTATTGACTCAAAAGCTTCAGAGGTAGAGTTCTACAGTTAAAAGTAGTCAGTTTGTGGATTTGCAATCCAGAGGAACACTTGTATAATCTGCATGCAGGCAATGAATCACTTAAGAGCTTCACATACCAAGTGTTCTCTGTATAACCTGCTGTTATCAGAACAATTAGGTCCCAGGCTCTATCCAGGAAACACACAGATACAAGAGTTATATCCAGGGTACATGATTAAGGCTTGGTTCTTGCATTCCCAATCTGGCTGGAAAGTATTTAGGTTCACAGGCAGAGCTTTCCAGTGCAATTACTAGCCCTAGCAAAGCGGGTGAATTGTCAAGGAATGACTTGATCTGAAGTACAGGAGTAAGAAAAATCCAGCAGTCAGCACTGCAGAATTCACTGTTGAATGGTCTAGAGCAACAATGACCCTAGTTAATAACACTTTTGGGAAGGAAGCTTGTATTACTTAGTGGGGAGCTTTTCCCAAATCCACATTGAGACGCCAATGTTAAACAAAAAAAGGCACGAGAGAAGCATTAAGAGGCATATCCTCCGGTTGCTTCTTACGAAACTATTCTGCAAAGACCAGGGTAGGATCCTTTGGCAGGAAGTGGCCTGGGAACTGAACCGAGTCTCCCCTACATGGAGGAAGAGAGAGGTAAAGTGACTTGTTTTAGTTCAGGCAGCAAGTTGGGAGAAATAAAAGAAGGTATCTACCTCCTTACCCTTTGCTCTAACTTCTGTTGAGCTGCCTTAGAGACATTAGCAGTCAAGAAGCCTTATTTAGAAAAATGCAGGTGTCTCAAAGTCATGCTAGCAGAGAAGTCAGATGAATGATGCTCAGAACAAGTGTTGTGTTTGGGAGAGACTGGTAAGGCTTTCTGTACAAGTGTAAAGTTTTACTTTAAATGCTAACCAAAAAACCCAAAAAGACAACTGCTTAGCTATCCTGGGTCACTAGCTGTCTGCAACCATAGAAGAGGGAGATCGTTACATCCAAAAGGAGACCGCTATATTCTAACAATGATAATAATGGTCAGTCTATGGCTTCAGCCGCTTCAAGAATAGCAATGTGCAATGAAGTTAAAGAAGCCCGTGTCCCTTGTATGCCCCTACTTCCAAATCACCCGCTTGTGGAGTGGATGTACCCTAATTGAACAGAGGTCGAGACGTGAACAATGTAATCCTCTGATGATGGTAACCTCCAGCCAACAGAATTGCAACAGAGGCTAAAACGGACAGATCCCCAGATCTAGACTGGAAGGCTACGGTTTCCAAGCATGGGAATAAATGAATGCTGTTAAGACCTGGACAACTCAGGGAAACTGCTACTTCAAGGTATCATGCTATCTCTAGTTTCAGAAGCCACAGATAGAGAAAGGAAGAGAGTCTCATGTACCTTTTATTGCTCAAGAATGGTAAAGGAAAAAAAAAAAAAAGAAGAACGTTGAAATTGCTATGCCGACTATTAAATCCCCAGTGCTTTACTTCATAGACATAGGCTGTACTTTGCGTAGTTTTCTGTAGTGATCATACTTTCAAGCATGGCCAGGGCATGGTTTTCCAAGACAGGATCCTATAACGATCACAGTAGGCTACAATGGCCTACTGAAATGGCCCTTCCATCACTCAAGATTTTTTTTGTTTGTTTGTTTTTACAGGAGAGGTTTTGAAGAGGAACTTTACAGTGAAATGCATTAAGTTGTCTTGAGCAACTGAAGGGCACTTTAAGGTTTGTGCACTCCTAAGGTTTTAATAGCTTCCTGGAAGCCACCAAGTTGGTTACCTTCACTGTGGAGCTGATGCTTACTGCTGATCTGATCAAGACTTTTGCTAGGCTATAAATATTGGTTACCTTTTTTCTTATATAGATAAGACTGTAATCTGGTGGCCAGTGTGGTTCATATTGTAATCATACTCCAATATGGTTGTATTTGTACTACAGTGAGGACCTTATGAACTGCACAAGACACCAAGGACTCTGGCATCAGGCTGTACAATAAGTCTTCCCAGACCTTTGCCCCAGCAAGGTAATAACGGGCTAAGTAGTAAATATATTCCACCCAAAGTAAAAAGTGTGTCCAAGGACTGTGACAATGCTATATTTATCAGGAAATCTCTCTCAGTCTGAGAGAATGCCAAAGTGATCTTGGAATTTTTGCTTCATAAAAAATCCTAGCCACTGGAGGCTATTTGTTCAGAGGTGGCAGTTAAATATTGGACCCGTTTCCTTAGCAAAAATAAAGTTTCCTCATGATGCTTCCCCTCAGAAGAAGGTACTGGCACTTGAAGATCACCTGGGCTATGTATTTCTTCTGGTCAGTGACCTATGATCTCTAAGGGGACTTATTGCCTCTGCCTACAGGCAAGATGTGGTAAAGGTTTTGAACTAATGGGAGCAAAGACCATGTCTTCCCCCCTATTCAAAGAAAAAACACACACAAGCTCCTCACATCCTGTCAGTAGAAGGTGTTGTAAAAAGGTGGGCAAAAATGCCCATTCCAAAGCATACACAAGAGTATTTAGAAAAAAAAGCACAATAAAATCTGTGTCCAGACAAACTAAATATCAGTTCTTATCAAGTCATGGGGTTGTTGTTTCTGCAATAAACAGCTGTGGACAGGACAGGCCCCAAACAGCACAAGAAAGATGCAGCTTCTGCCTTGCTGTGCAATACTAGTAGCTGCTGCAAGCAAGGCAAAAACCCCAGGTCCCTGTCAGGCAGAGAGCCTTGTTTACCTTGGTTGCAGTGAACTCCTTGTACTTTTCCCCAAGGGGGATAGTTTGCAGGGATGATCAATGCTCATTTTCATTTACTACATTAAAGAAACACCTAGTAGTTTAAAGTTATTTGGTTACAGAAAAGAATTTTTTAGAAATATTTAGTCAAAAAAGAGTTTCCTTCAGCAGTTCTAAAACCGGACTTTGAAGCACTCGTGCAAAAGCACTCGTGCAAAAGAGCCAGAAAATAAAGAGATCAGTGAGGTTTCATTGTCCAAAGTGAGTGCAAACATTAAGTGGGAGGAAGTGAGGTTTTTAAATCTCAATAAAAGATCAGAAAGCAGTGAGAAGTATATTTCTTCTCCTGCAAGACTAGATCCTCAGCAGTGTAGAGTGGCACAGTTTTATCAAAGTGCAAAACATGCCAACTTGTGCCAGCTGAGGATCCTCTGATTTTTGGCCCAACAGTGGCTCTTCAAGGATTATTTGTTTTGTTCTGCACAATTGTAATACATATATAAAGGTCAGAGTTAGATATAGATCCCAATCTGGCTTTGCTAAACAGATAGTTTCAGATAATAAACCGTTTCAACATTCTGACTCGGACATCATTGCTTACAAAAAGTAACTATATACACTGGATTTTAAGCACAAGAAGCCTCCCACTACCAACTGAAAGGCACGTGTTTAAGACAGTCAGGAAGATGCACACAAGAATTAGCATGGTTCTACTGTACTTCCTAGAACTTCACAAAGCATCCCACATGCTTTGTTATGACAGACAGACAGACGCACATTTCTTCACAGCATCCCTGTAAGGGAGAGAAATAATGACATGATGTTTCACATATACATAGACATTTCTTCACCATTTTAATTACAATTAATACAGTTTGCAGTTAGGTTATAACCATTTGCTTATGCATGTGTCTGGAAATGTCACTAAAGGACAAACTGAGACCCATGTACATACATGTGATTTAGTTTCACTTGCTTGTAGGAAGTGGGAAAAGCCCTTGTTGTGGTGTGTGAGGGTGGGAGTTAGAAAAGAGTGGAGATGCCAGAACTGGAAAAGGGAAGGATGTGAGTGCACACACATGCATGCACTCACATGAAAGAGTTTTAAGTGGACTGGTTAAAAACACTCATAAGAGAAAGTTTGCATTAAGCTTCTCACAGGAGTTTCAACCACTAGCTCATCTACAGTATTTTGGACTGCTTGCACTTGCCAAAACCTATTTTTAAGATTCCATTTCAGACTGCATACCACAAGTTATCATCAGAAAGCTTTTTTGTGCTTTAAATTCACATTCTCTAGAATAAGTTACCGCTTGCATGCCTCTTACTTGTGGAAGCAGATACCCAGCTAACTGACCCAGTCTCCACCTCCCCAGGTCCATGCACACATTTCAGTTGGCCCTTAGAAATACTGTAAAATATTTCTGCAGCTGAGGAGACCATAGTCTGGTCACAAGAGACGGAAACTAAAGTGGTGATGACAGCCGACAGTAAAGACTTGTCAGGAATATTTTGGAAGGTGCCAGGGTTTCAAAGTACAGAAGTTACTAGCCTGGGATTTGACAGTATTAAAAGCAAATCATGTCCATTCAAGATTACAGGCCCCAGAATTCCACATGTAAGCTACATCCGAAGAGAGCAACAAGCACGTTTCAGTAGAATAGCCCTCTTAGATGCTAAAAAGTTTGTTGGAGGTAGGAGCCCTAAGTAACTAGAGTGGAACAAGGTACGCAGAAATGGCTGCATTTCCATCACTGGTGAAATCAACACTTGGAGGAGATTAGTTGTGAACAATTTAAGAGTAACATGACAAACATTAGGGGTTGTTTTTTTAAGAAGCCAAAGATCTTATGGGGAGGCAGAGATATATTCTTTGTCTTTGCACTCTTAAGTGGTGTGGAAGCAAAACAGCTCACCTTGCAAAAGGTATGAAGGAAATGCTGTACCTAAGAAATAAAGAGAACATAAAGAAATTAGCAGCTGTTTTGACTGTAAAAATTGCATATAAAAGCAACAATTTCTCCCCATATTAAAAGTAAACACACAGACATCTCTGCATGTATATAAAAGACACTATAATTAAATTAGCGGAGAGAAATGCACTGTTGCTCCTCAAGCACCTTCATTGTAAACATCTTGGTTAAGTAAGGATTTATATGAAGTGTTTAGTTAACCATAACCCCCACAAATCCCATGCATACAAGCCCTGGTGGCATGTACGATTAGTCTTCCAAACAGCAATGTACTTGGGACCTTAAGAACTGATGAGCTACAGTTATTAAATTCTACAGCATCCAAAGCAGCGAGTCTAGGATGATGTAAAAATCCTAAACTAGTTAGAAGAAAACTACCCTAAAAATATCCATGTATAAGCCTGTCAAACTAATGGAAACAGACAAACAATATAGTCCCAAATGGAAGAGCTAATGTGAAAGGAAGTGCCAAATGGCCAAAGCAAATCAATCTGGAGAACAGCAGCAACCTTGGTCCAGCTGCAAAACAGCTGGACACACTACAGAAGGAAGAGCACAGTGAAGGACTCTGAACTGAGCATGGTCTGCCCCCAGTCCCAGCCAAACAGAACTCTGAGGCAAAAAGCAGAGACAAGCCAGCTCAGCTCAAAAACCTTGAACCTCAGGGTGGTAATTTTATTTGGAGAGGAAGCTCAAGTTTGGGTGGATGGAGAAAGAAAACACTCATTTTCCTTATTCACACCAGAGTAAGTCCATCAATACTCCAGCAACTGAACAAAGCTTTAAACCAAATTGTTGGGAAAAAGGGAAATAAAACTTACTTACCAGGCCAAAGCAAAAAACTGTAAAATGCAGAAGATGAGAGCAAGTCCTTTGTTGTGCCACTGACAGAGGGAAAGAAAAGTAAAGTCATGAAACAGCAATTACTTGTATTTTTTAAAAATGTCCACAGGCCACATGCAAGATTCAAGTACTCACCCAGAAGGCAGAACACAACGTTAGTACGAGACACAACTAAAAGAGAACAGAGAATTGCTGTTAAAACAGACTGTTCCCTAGATATTAACATCTAGCCAAGTTTCATGGCTATGCTTTTATATATAGTGCCAGTACCAAGCACTAGTATTAGCGCTTTACTTGGATCAGGTTTACTATATAAGAGTTCCATTTAAAGTGTTCTATCCATGACATTTCTGAATATGAAATAAAGCAGCAGACAGATACTGGCTATATCTACACTGGCTCTGCTGTACTCTCAAAGCTGTTCCTTGAAACTGAGCCGTACCCAGCTGCTTTAGCTACTGTTTTGTAGCTTCTCCATTTAAACCTACCTTTAATTTTTGCTAGTCATTCAAGGATGCAATAAATATATACTGCAAATTGGCAATACTTTTAAAATAAAAAAACCCAACAGAAATATCTTACTTTGAGCTAGACACACTTTAAATGGAGGCACTGTTTCCACTTAGCAACAAGCAAGTTCCTGATCTTTCGGTCTTCATAGTCAGTACTACAGCCCTGTGGTACATGTACTATTGCGTGCATTTCATGCTGCTTGTGTGTGGGAATTATGTAGGGTGGCTCAGGCGATAAGTATAATGGTCTCTGACCTTAGTCATTATTCTAACACTGTTTTTTCATATTTAAAATCTCCTACTAGAAAGGTAGTTGCATGTTCAGACACACACCACGCTGAATGCAAAACAAACACAGCCAGCCATTACAACAGGAGATAATCAGTTACACACAACTGCACATGTACCTGGATTCATCAGTGAATCAGAAAGCAGGAAACAGCACAATGGCGGAAAAAGCTTTGCCAGATTACCAAAATAATATGGGAGCATTTAAGTCAGATCTCTTTTCAACATAACTGAGGCTGTAACAAATTTGAGGGTTGAGAGAAAAAGCACAAGAGCATAAAAAGAGGGAGACTAATCTAAAGAATTTCCCAAACTGAGGGTGAAAGGCAGTAGAAAGTTTTCAGCACAAATGGTACTTTTAAGTAAGTGTTGCAACTCCCAATTGCAGTGGGATGGGGTGATCACTCTACTTGTAAGCATTTTAAAGTCTACAACCCAAGTCCACTAGAAAATTGGAATGGCAGTATTGTGACAGAACTTTGGGGGTGGGGAACTATGGAATTCTACTTTGCAGTTGAAGGCAAATACTCTTACTTTGTCAAGATCCTTCAAAACAGAAAAACACCAGTAACCAGTTAGATGCATTTGCCTAAGGTAAGCTCTATACTTTTATTTAGCAAGCTTAATTCATCTACACATAGTTAAAGCATCAGAGTGCTGCATCATGAAACATCAATTACAGGTTCCTCAGAAAGCAGCTAGGATGCTTAAGAGTAACACCAGTAAAGAGAGGGGTAACATTAGTAGGGAAGCATGCGTGTTTAACTACATTCCAACTGGATTCTTCCCCCAACTTTCTAATCAAACACATCTCTCACTTCTCAGCCCAGACTTTATGATTGCGTGCCAAATTTCTCCAAAATGACATCTGCAAAACCTGTCGTTCCACTTCATGCACCCAAACCACTAGCTCCTGTGTTGTTGTAGCCTGGTTTAAACTAAGCTTTCAGAACAGAGGACCTGCTCTTTCCTGTTATACAAAACAATATTTTTGTACAGCATTATAAAAACAGCAATACAGTAAGATTTTTAATA